ATTACTCCTTAATCCAACTATAATCTATTACTCTCTCAACGCAACAACCGAGTATTTAACACGGTTACCATATAATCCCCATAAAAATGACAATACATCAGTTCCTTTAGACATTCATTCTAGCATTCAGCTGAAACTATTTTCAAAATCACTTCGAATATTCGATACTTCTAAAGTATCAACAATTACGAAACAAATCGAGAGATGCAATGACATCACGAGTAATCACGTCAACTGAAACACCTAATCATACGAATAAAATTGAATCTCTCATTCGAGGACGCCGAAGGGTTAACTATTACATAATTCATCCCTACGCGAACCATTGTCCCGGTGATTCCCGATCGAACGACCGGGCCATTCACTTTCGGTTCAGTCGGGGGTGGTTGTACTCAGGAAGTCGTGTCGCGATTAACGCGAGGTCGGGGGCGACGGGGGCGGCCGGTCGCGCAGTCGCGCTGACCGCTGTCCACCTGGCAGATCGCGGATTATCCTTCACCTGCCGGCACCTGGTCAGATAAACCGAGGAAAGCGTGGCAGAGGCTGGAATCGGTGAACCGGGACGCATCGACGACGCGGGCAAAATAAGGGGAACACGAGTCGCGAACGGGGAGACCAGTGAGTATGGGGACTCGGGGGTGAGCGTCCTCTTTCGTCGCGGAAAGAGAAATCAAAATACAATACAGCCGGGTCGACGAACCGGCCGAGGACCTCGATGAGCCGGGCAGGTCAATGTTTCCGTTTCGAAGAGCTTCGCTGTGAGTAACGTTAATTCGCTTCGACGTGAATGGATTTGCTTGGAAATAATCGGTTGCTCGCGTTGATACGCTGCGTGTTCGAAGAAATGTATCAAGGTTAGCTTTTGCACTCGATAGGTGACTCGCTCATGGTTTGATTTGATGTAACAAAATTACAGTTGTGTATGATAATACGAGAAGTTAAAGTGACTTGAAATTTGTAGAAACTGGGAAAGTGCATCTGTTGAGACCTTAATACTAGGTTTACGGAACGCGTCAAATTGACGCATATTGGATTTTAGAAATATTATTTTGTAAATGTTCACGCCGATTTTGATTGATGCGATCATACTGGCATGTAGTTCAATTACCTACTATCGAATCTCCAGTTTCTACAATCTAAATAAACGGGCATCAATTCTTTTAGGAATAATAGGATGAAGTGTACAATAAATGCCCGTAAGCCTAGTGTTAATCGATTTTCTATTCGGTTTGCGCATTGCTACATCGATTTCTGGAATTATTTGTCAGATCATCTGTTATTCTAATAACTGCGACAAGAATGAATCAGGTATTAATAATTCTCATCCATCTACTAGTCTTAGTGTTAATTACTAATTCGACCAGTTACTATTAAGACTAAAACTACCGGAGGCGTCAAAATGACTTGTGTCCATTTTCTAATTATTAATTAGAAATTAGCAATTGCTAATTATTAGCAATACGCAAACTGAATTATAAATCACAGTCTCGATAGAACCCTTGAAATTTCTATACAATTTCAAACTATCAATTCAACTGTTCGATAGCTTCTTAACTATTATATCTGTCATTATATTGTTAATCAACTGTCTCAATTATATTGTTAATTATTAAGAAGATAACAGATTTTTCGTTGAGAAATTATTATAATATCTTTCTAATATTTACAAGAACTCAGGAATAGGTCATTTTGATCCATCTGGTAGTTGCAGTGTTAAATTTAGTACAATGCATTCATACGTGAAATATTGAAACACTAGTTTCTTTATTAGTTTGTGTTTGTTTCCTCGTTACTTGGTTTCAAAGAATGTCGTCTATATATCATAGGAAAACGTCATTTCCAGCGAAACCTCTCGAGTGCGAAGGGTTAACAGGAACTCGTTTAACCTTCGCTTCCATTCGTTCTCCGAACCTTCGTATGGCGTCGCGAGATGTTGATAATTTTTTGTCGAATATAAACGTAAATTACATTGGAACGGATATTGAATCGAGGAGACGACCAAATAGAAACGTAAGACTGAAACGAGGCTTTATATTCTGAATAATGGTACAACCAGCATATTGAAGTAGCTTTCAAACGAGGTCCGTGGTAGTGAACAATCGTTTATTGACGAGGTAACAGGTGCTTCATTTAAGTGAAGCGTGAATTATTTACCTGGGCGGGGATGAAGTCTATCCAGGTGCAGGAGAGCCTCCGCTTCGTTCGTACTTCGCCTCGCAGGCATTTTAATCGGTTCGACCAGTTTTCCCTGTCCCTGATCATCGTTCGGTACACCGAGCCGCGGTTACGGGTGTTAAATATTAATCAAGTTTGAAAATAAGTTGAAGTTGTACTTCGTGACTGGTCTTTTCCATAAACAGCACGGAAAGAACGAACAGGTGGAACAGAGCTGAATTTTTAATAGCCTCGATGCAATAATTTCCCAACACGGCTTGCGAGCTTCCCAGAGAAATCGTATCAACCAGCTCCTCTTTATTAACCGGAGTATAATCGAAAGTTTCAATCACTCGTATCATCAGTTTAATAACCATCGCCAAGATTCAATTAGACTCCATCACTATTGTAACAAAAATACTGAAAACACCCAGATTCATAGAATACCTACTCTAAATCAGATCCTCGAAACTGAAAAAGCGACCTGCGAAATCACCTCAGCAGATAACAAATTAATCTACAGCTCTACTTCAGCACCCGTACGCCACATAAAAACCGGCGAAAATATCCATACAGTTACATCGATCGCGCGTTATCGATACATCTCCCGTTTCCATCGCGTGACACTCGAATACCCACACAGGCGCTAAACTTAGGCAGTGCGGGGTTCAAAATGAAAATCCACTTATCGAGCAGCCTCGACCGCCCCCGGCGGATTCAAGATCACCCGTCTCGCCTGTTCGCGTTGTAAAAATCCGCAGTCCACTTATACGCGTCCCGCAACAAGTACGCCGCACTATACCAAAATATCGAGGCGCGTACCGCCCGGGCAGCGTCGGGAATGCCCGTCGGACGCAGTCACCGGCGAATCGATAGGCAAGATTGCGTGGTTGCTGGCCGAGTTTCTTCGATCGGGACGCGAAGTTCGTGAATCTCCATCCCCTGCGGCGCGGGAGAAAGTTCGTCCTTCGACGACGACGACGACGACGACGACGCGAAACCGATCCTAGACATTGGCACCGTTCGCCGGAACCGACCGTTAATTATTTACGGGCGGTGATCGATTACGCCGCTGGCCGCGGCCGGGCGTATGGATCCCACCCCCCTGCGGCCAGGGTTAGACCGTTAGCTACGCCGCGTTCCCACGTTTCCGCGATGGCGACGTTCCCGCATCGTCGCAGTCGCGGACGGGCCCAGTCGAAAGAGGATGCTCGCCCGGATCCGCAGAGCTTTCAACTGCACCCTGCCGAAATGCGGGAATTTCAAATTTCCAGGGATGGAGAAGGCCGGTTCCTCCGTGGCGGACGAGAGCAACGCGGACCTCGAGGACAGGGACCCGAACAGTTTGAACCAGCATCTGCAGGTAGCTGGACCGAGGCGCTTTGGTCGCTTCGATCTGATCGCACTTGCGCTAGTCTATGCACTGTAGTGTGTATTTTGCGTTGGCACCTTAGCTTGATCTCTGCACTCGAGTGACTGTTATTCGATGTTTCGTGTAGGGAAGTGGGAAGCTTGATGTGGGATATTAACCCTTTGCAGTCGAGAGTTTTTGCTGGAAATATTCCACATTTTGTAAGGAGATAGGAACGATATTTTGGAAACTTGAAAAATTACACATTAATCAAATACAGCTGTTTCGTTTCAATATTCCACGTATTGATGCATTATAGAAAGATTAATGTTAAATATCAAATTTTACAATTTTTCATCGAATCAAGTGGTGACTGAGAGTTATCTTTCGAGTGCAAAGGGTTAAGCTTTAACGGAGCAATGCCACCATATAATATTGTTGTTTAGCTACCTGGGTTCAATATGTATATGGTGGAAAGATCATTTTATTATTTTTATCATTCTTATTGTTGGAATATTTACAATTTAAGCATTGTGCTGAGTCGCTTCTGTTCTTTCCTCTTGTTATTTATGTTGTTTTCGCGGTAAGGAAACTTGAAGTAGTTGTGACATGTTAAGGGTTAAGTTTCCTGTAATGCATCTATGTATGATGGAATGAAGTAGCTTTGTTTCTTAACTGACGCATGACTCATCGTTAAGCTGGTCTCAGAGAACATTGTCTGTGTCTGTAGCTTCGATTTAAATGCATCTATATGAACGCTTTTACTCACGTGCGAATATTTCTTTGCAATTGCTGATGATGTAAACATGGCGGCAGCTTATGGAATCAATGGTTTCCATTTTTACTTTTATTCTATACTAAGTTACCGAATATTCAACAATGTCACGTTGTACATTTTTTCCAGATTCATTGTACTTCTCTAACGTTTTTAACCAGTTAACTGTGTTTGACGAGTATAACATCATCGTAAAGCTTGACATGATACTAATTCTTTCATGAATTCTTTATTTTTCCACATAAACATGTAATTCTTCTTTGTTTCGCTTCGATCTTTCATTAAAATATACTCTACGCGCATTCGCCCTGCGTTCGACGAGTGCACGCTCCACTTTTCAACTTCATCGCGCGCAGGACCAGAGATTTTTCCAACTAAATTCCACAGTTAACACGTTAAATGCCGCGTCGGTCACCGATGGCCGACGCTTCTGAGTTGCTTGAAGAAAATTACAATATGCAAGATAATTACTGTTGACTAAAAATATTTAATAACATAAGTAAGTTAACTGTGTGATGTAAAAATTTTGATGCCGAATAATTAATAGTTGTTCCTATTTACCGTTGCTACACATCACGTATAAAACGTTCAAGATTATCGTGGCGCTTATTAACTGATTAAACAAAGAACTTCGCGCTTCACGATGTTACACTTTTTATTCCGATCGCGTACGCAAATGTTCGCACTGTCTTCCATTTATCTGATTTCCGTGTGACGCAGGTGATGTGGGATGACGTGATCGGAGAACCGGAAGGAATACGCAGCCCGGAGTGCGCGTGGCGTCTCAGCGGCCACTGCTTCCGGCTGTCCAGAGGATGCTGTTACGTGCTGCTGTCGGTTCTCATCGCGCCTCTGCTCGCCCTTTGCTTCGGCTTCACCTTCGCCTGCCTCTCGTTTCAGGTAAGACGACCGACCATCTTTTTTTTTCTCTCGTTCCCCCGGCTCGATCGATGCCGGCCAGGTGCGTTTGTTTTCGTTTCCGGCCACATTAAGACCCTCGATTCATACACGGAGAACCACACAGCGAGTTCGACCTCGTTATTCCCGGTCTTATTATACCCTTAATAACACGAGCAAATTAAAACACTGCAATTCTTGGAAACCCGACGTTTCCAATTATTTCGTTGTATTAAGTTGTAACACACGACGCGTCCGATTTCTATAATTAGCTTGAAACGAACGGGAATTCTTTAGTAATCCATATTTTCCATCGAAATAACAATCACTGGATTCTACAGATTCTGTCCAACGAGTTTCTAGTTTTTTCATTTCAGTTTTATAGAAATCTGTCGTGTACTCAACGGTTGCTTGATTCCTGAAGGTTCTTTTCCTTTGAGAATGTGGCTTAAATGGGAGATGAAGTAGTCGAGCATTGTTATTGAGCAGAATTGGCCCATTACGATTAACACTAGGTTTACGGAACGCAAATCGACGCAAATTGGATTTTAGAAATATTATTTTGCAAATGTTTACGCCGATTTTGATTGAAATCAAAGGAAAAGGAAAAACTGGAAAATTTCCAGTTTCCACAATCTAAATAAACGAGCACCAATTCTTTTAGGAATAATAGAATGAAGACAATAAATGCCCGTTAACCTAACGTTAAACGAAAGATCTGCCTTCAAAGTTAAATATGAAATATGTCCAAATAGTTTAATATTATTTCGTAAAACAGAACTTAAAGCACTGATCAACGGGAATACACTTCGTATGTTACAACCTAATAAATTTTTCCCGAACGCCGTAACAAATATCGATATGGAAATGTTTTCAATTATACTGACATTTACGACGTTACCATTTTATCATCACTTCTTTCTTCCACCGTCGAATTGCAGTAAAACGGACATTTTCAATTATCGCGCCTTTCATTTCATGAGTTCATCGAGTCCGTGAAGCTAGCCATTACGCAAATCGAGAATTGAATATGCAACAAAGTCAAATGACCTCAGACGACGGGTTCTGCAACTGCATAGATCATCGTGCGTCGCGATAATGAGATTAACCCATTCGCGGCCGCTCACATAAATTATTACTGCTTATGGCTCTCCGCAAGCTGTGGCGCGTAACCATTAAAGGAAAATAATGTCCGGCGCAGCTCTTCGATAGAAAATAATTAGTCGATTACGAAACTGTACTGAGAAGCTCATCTGACGTTACTCAACGGAGCAATAAAATCTGATGGAAAAGGTAATGGTTCTAGGAAGCATGAAATTTCAAGTTGTCCAGCATCGACGGCAAAAAGGCAATCAGACGTAGACTCGTCTTTTCTTTCGGACTCCCGATATAATTTGAGATTTTATCACAGAAAAATCTTCTGTAATATCCTAATTTCAATAGTACAATCTATAAAACCTGTAATCTGTGATATACACGAAAATGTCTGATAGCATCAACAAAGTCACGGTAACATGATGCTGAATGACAAACGCTACGCGAAATCACGCGACATCGGCCGTTCGAAGCGTCAGGTTGTAGTTTCGATTCGATGAGACGTCAATCGATTGTAAGAGTGTCTACGGATAATGATTCTAGGAAGCATGAAATTTCAAGTTGTCTAGCATCGACGGTAAAAAGGTAATCAGACGTAGACTCGTCTTTCGAACTCTCGATATAATTTGAGATTTTATCACAGCAAAATCTATAATATTCTAATTTCAATAGTACAATCTATAAAACCTGTAATCCGTGATATATACGATATATCAACAAAAGTCACGGTAACTTGATGCTGAATGACAAACGCTGCGCGAAATCACGCGACATCGGCCGTTCGAAGCGTCAGGTTGTATAGTTTCGATTCGACGAGAGACGCGTCGATCGATTGTAAGAATGGGAACCAAGGGATCGATCTTTCCAGCACATATGGTGTGTGGCCCCCTGCCTCCGTGTCTGGAAAATCACGTTCGCGGCCATGAGAAATTTTCTCGCCACGGTGACGCAAGCCGTCGTGCGGCCGGTGATGGACTCCCTGGGCTACATGTTCCACAATATACGCGTGTACAATCAAAAGCTGCCGGACGGCCCGCACAAGAAGGACGATCTTCTGGTGGTGTGAACGGTGGTGTGTTCTTCTTGGTCGTTCAAGTGCCTCTGAGTGTTTCTCATCGTCGTCATCCAAGTGCCTTCACGCGAATAATAATGATCGGGCTAAAGGTGTTCGTGTATTTAGCGTGTACACACGAACGACCGAGCATTCTAATTTGTCGGTTTATTCGAACGATTAGAGTCTCGTGAAACATCTGGTCTGAATTAGTTTGAGAATGACTGCAATTTACAATTCACCGTCGACTATATTGAATTTGACGGGACGATCTTTTGAATCGTTGCAGTATTAACCCTTTGCCCTGTGGTGAAGATTTCAAGTAGAATTTAATGAACACGAATGTTATTCAGTTCGTTTGAATGCGAGTTAGATGTTATTCCTCTGTTGTCGATGATTATACCTTAGAGCACACGTTGACGTAGAATAAGAGATTTTCTCTTATTTTCGATAAATTAACCCTTTGAACTCTGTCGGCTACAATATTGCACCAGTTATAGTACTAAATATTTCAATGAATCTTATACTATCCTAAAATTATTCGATTTTCTACATATCCAAATTTTGCACTGAGAAGGGAAATAAAAGATCGAAGAAATGTTATAGCATTTCTCATTTTCACCATTTGATTTGACGCAGTAAAATGAAAAAATTTGATATTTAATATTGAACTATGTATAATGCATTGGTGCGTGAAATATTGGGATAAAAAAGTTTCGTTTCTATTTACCTGTGATTTCTCTTTGAATTCATGAATCATGGCGACCGTGTTTGCCGGTCATTGCTCGCTGCGAGATTCCATTCTCAATTATCATAGTTAGTTAAGCTAATCTACTACTGCTGTATTCATGATATCGACGGAACGTCTGTATATTTATTGTTATCATGTTTTGTAAATAAAGAGTGCCTTGTGGAAATACGAACGGGAATATAACTACGAACCTGGTTATCATTCGACGAACAACATGTTACATAATATCCACCGAACGAATCTGACAATAATAACTTAGCATCTATACCGTATCATTTAACGTGGTACCTTAAGTACGACATAATTATCTATGAATTATATACGAAAACACCGTAACAGAGATAAAGAAATTCTTATTCGTCCATAAAATTCCGAGAAATTATATAGTTTCAACTTTCGAATTGAATTTCCCGCTTGATTGGTGGAATTCAAAGTTGTGTTCATTTCGGCAAGATTTAGTAATCGTGCGAATATCGCATCGACGAAACAAATATTTTCTGAAATTGGAAAAAGACAAACACGAGAAGGAAGATACTATCTGACTTTAAGTGGGGCAAAGGTGATCATTGATAAGCGCCACTCGTAGGAATCGAGAAGCCAGTGTTGAGTTGGTTCTTGATTATAATGGCGGCCATCACGCAGAAGCTTCTTTCGCGATGCTGTATGTTTCGCCAGAAACCTTCGCTCAGGCGTATCCTTTTTTTTTTATTATGAAATTTCTCGAATTTGACTAGTCTTCGCAACAAAGTATCCATGTAAGTAATATTCGTTTAGCTGTAAGTCATTTTCATTGCATTGGTTATGTACAGTTTCTGTTTTGTTCAAAATTATTCTTCTTAATCGACGCCTTGAAACATCAGAATTTTCCACCTCATCCACCGATGTCAAAAAGGGTAAGTTCCCTTGGTCCCTTCGGTATTTTTCACTTTCATTTTTATCAACAAATTAGACACTTGCTAGTCGGCATGGTAGTTTCTCCATATCGCCAGTAGATGGCAGCACCTACCGGCCGTTATATGAGTAAATAAAATATCGTCATTTATAAAGTATAAATGAAATACTCGAGAGTTCAATGTTTCAAATATTTCTTAGAAAAATTCATTGGTTTCTTTTTTAAACACTTTTTATCTATAATAAAATGTAAACTGAGTCGTAATCTTCATTACTACTCTACACCCTCTTTCACCCCCTAACTTGTGGTCCAATACCTTTTCTCTAAAACTAGTACCAAAAGATTCGTTACCTTACGATTTTATTTTTCATTAAACAAACTTTTTATCTATAATAAAATGTAAACTGAGTCGTACAGTTCTTCATTACTACTCTACACCCTCTTTTACCCCATAATTTGTGGTCCAATACCTTTTCTCTAAAACTAGCATCAAAAGATCCATTACCTTATGACTTTATTGCTAGTAATGATCGTCTATAATATTATTAAAACACAAATTTAACCCTTTGCACTCGGAAGTTCTCACTATAAATATTTAACATTATTTGACGAGGTGAAGACGATATTGTTTGAAACTAATCTACGGGAAATCACGAGAGCATTGAGGAACAAAGCTATTTTATTCCAATATTTCACGAGGCATTCTACAAAGTTCAAAATTAAATATCAAACTTTATAGTTTCACTGCGTCAAATCAACTGATTAAGAGTCGCCTCCCGAGTGCAAACGATTAACAACTTTGACAAGGATTTCAAAGTATATTAGCAAGTACAGCAAAAATGAAAACGAAAAATCCCATTGTGTATCAAATAATAAAGGAACAGGGAATTGAAAGGTTTCGATAATTCCAAAAATCAGCGGTCTTTAACGTGGAGGACCCCTTCAACCTCGAGTCAGAGTTGACCGAGGAGGAAATCCAGATCAGAGACCAGGTTCGCTCGTACTGCAAGCAGAGTCTGGTACCACGAATCACAAAGAAGAATCCTACCGAGAGCTACGAGCAGCATAACATCATGTCGGAGTTGGGTCAAATAGGTGTGCTGGGGTGCACGATCAAGGGTTACGGCGGTTCGGGGGTGTCTTCCGTTGCCTACGGACTCGTGGCCAGAGAATTAGAGTCTGTCGACAGTGCATACCGATCTACTTTCTCGGTTCAATCCTCCCTGGTAATCGGCGCGATTTATAAACACGGGAGCGTCGAGCAGAAGGAAAAATTCTTACCGCCACTTGGTACGTGGATCAACTGATTTAAATAGATTTTCCCCAATTTCTACGAGTCAACCGAGTTTTAGAGTCGAGCAAACACGATATCGAAATATTGAAACCCATGCTATCTTTGATAATCCCGCGAAGATTAACAACGAAGATTCCATTTCCCGAACAATTCGAATAGACTCGGCGTAATTTAACGATTCCTCGCCACTTCCGAAACCGTCCGAAAACCCGAGATTACTTACAGTTTCCGGCAAAGTGACCGGTTGCTTCGGGTTGACCGAGTCGAACCACGGTAGCGATCCAGGATCCATGGAGACTCGCGCTACCTACGACAAGAAGAGGCAGGTTTACCTGTTGAACGGGTGCAAAACATGGTTAGTCGACTGCTGGAGAGAGGACAGAATCCAGTCGGGACTCTTAATGTTTTCTGAACGAATCTCTGTGTCCACGTCAGGATCACGAACGCCGTTCCCGCGGACGTGCTGGTCATTTGGGCGAAGTGCGAGGACAAAGCGATCCGCGGATTCATAGTTGAGAGGGCAAACAACGAGGGCAATCTGACAACAGAAAATATACAGGGTAAGCTCTCGCTGAAAGCTTCGCAGACGGGGGTGGTCACGATGGACAACGTGGTGGTGCCGCCGGAGAACGTGCTGCCGAACGTTCAGGGCTTGAAAGTGAGTGTTCGCGACGAAGCTTCGATGGCTCGAATAATGACGAGAGTCTAGAGAATTGTGACTTTGAAACAGGGACCGTTCGCTTGTCTCAACGACGCTCGGTACGGAATCGCGTGGGGCGCACTGGGCGCAGCGGAAACCTGCTTCAAGGTAGCCAGGGAGTACGCTCGGGACAGACTACAGTTTCACAGGCCTTTGGCGGCGAACCAATTGATACAGGTGAAGTTGGCCGACATGATGATCGAAATCGCGTTTGGCCTTCAATGTTGCCTTAAGGTCGGGCGACTGAGAGATCAGGGCAAGTAAGAGAACATTGTCATGTAGAATTATTGCGCGAAGTTTATTACCGCTCAAACTCTTGATTCACGTTGCTCGGATATTGATATGTAATTTTGATACCGGAGGTCGTTGGTAATCTTGTAACACGGGAATTTTTTATATTTGATATGTTAATCTTTGAACGAAGAGAGCACGATGAAATTTTGTTAGTGGTACTGTTCTGAAGCAATGAGTTTGTTGAGATTTGTACGTTTGATAAGGATACTTTTCTTTTTACCTAGTTTTCTTGATTCACGTTGCTCGGATATTGATATGTAATTTTAATACCGAAGGTCGTTGGTCATCTTGTAACACGGGAATATTGAATTTTTTATATTTGATATGTTAATCTTTGAACGAAGAGAACACGATGAAGTTTTGTTAGTGGTACTGTTCTGAAGCGATGAGTTTGAGATTTGTACGTCTGATAGAGATACTTTTCTTTTTACTTTGTTATTGTTTCCCTTCCGAGGAGCTTGATTATGAGGTTTATTGTCCGCTAGAGCTATACCGGAAATGATCTAAACAAAGAGAACACGATGAAATTTTGTTAGTGGTACTGTTCTAAAGCGATGAGTTTGTTAAGATTTGTACGTTTGATAGAGATACTTTTTTTTACTTAGTTTCTTATTGTTTTCCTTCCGATGAGCAAGATTATTTGAGGTTTATTGTCCGCTAGAGCTACACCGGAAATGATCTCGATGATCAAGAGGAATTCGGCTATGAAAGCCTTACAGATCGCAAGAACTGCTAGGGAAATGCTCGGTGCCAACGGAATTATCGAGGACTACCAGGTGATGCGTCACATGATGAATTTGGAGACCGTGATTACCTACGAAGGTGCGCACTCGCGAAATAGAATTGTATCTCGCGCGGACAGATCGTCGGAGAATTAATCTTTAATGTTATTTCCCGTAGGCACGCATGACATTCATGCTTTGGTACTCGGCAGAGCCATTACAGGCATACAGGCCTTCAATTAAGGGTCACCTGCGATTGTAATCTATCATCTGGGAAACATCGATTTATTTTATTTACATTTGTACATGCCTTTGATACGTCTCTTGCGGGAACCGAAAGCATTTCTTACCAGTCTCTCGTGTAACCGTTAAAATCCTTGCGAAGAACGTTGTAAAACTAAAAGAGAATGAACGTAAGAATGCCGGAGAATCTTTGTCGCTTCTTTCATCGTTAAAATTAAAAATTTCGTATCTCCTAATGAAAGAAACAAGCGAATAATTATGAACATCAACATTGCTATTCCGAGGTACACTGTTGCGTTACTTGTTATTGGAAATGAGAACATACGAGAACGAAAAGATGAAATAATTTGTTGATCTATGTAACGATTGAAAGATCTCTTGAATCGAACAATAAAATTAAAGGGAAACGTTATTCATAGAGTGAACAGACGCAACAGCGATCTAGAGAAATAAGAAATAATACTGTATCGCTAAAGAATCCTGAAAGAACAACGCGGGCGTCTCGAAGATTCTGTAATCTTTGTTCCTCTCACTCCGTTCCTCTCTCACTCTCTCTTTCAATTGTCAATTCCCGACGCATCGGTCGTCGAAAGTCCCGCGGAGAAAAGGGGAGCGTGAAACACACGAGAGCCTCTCCGTTTCCGTTCGCGA